GATCAATGGACAGTTGCTGTCTGTTTTCGTAAACTTTTCGTTTTCATACAATACAATATTTCTGTCTAGTGTTAGCAGAAGCAGCCCAGTGAATTCGCCTTTTGGCGAGTCTAGTTCATTTTTGAATTGACCGTGGTACTTAGACCCCTAATGTTTCCAGCTAGATCATTCCAAAGTCTGAGGGCTAGTTGCAAGAAAAGTACATTGACCAGACTTAGTATTAAAAAAGGGACGGATAGTTCCATATTAGTCGACGCTCTAATTTCATAATTATGTCTGGTATTGACGTAGCAAATATAATTATCGAAATAATCAGGACAAAAAATCAGCTCAAATGCATAGTACAACTTATCACCATTCATTTCACATTTTACCTCTTTTCGTGCCTGGTTTAGTTACTGTAGTTTCTTTCTTATCTTTAGCCTTCTGTAGTTCTTTCTTCTGCGATAAAAAATCAAAATGCCACAAACAAACCACAATTGCCTTACAACTCCTTTCATAGCAGCACGTCCATGTAAACAGGAACTTGAAAGTAATCTTCGCATGCAACAAAATGAAAGCGAAATATGAAGAGAAAGGTACCTTTTTCTTTAGCAGGGCGAACTTTTTAAGAAGATACTCTTCCTCTGGAGTGAGATTTGGAAGGCCCATGGCGCTGTTTTCGTCCTCGTCCTTGCTACAAGGTGATAAGGCAAGTACTTCGGTTAACTGGTTATAAAGCCGCCATCTTGAAAACTCTTGTGACTGCACTGATAAAAGCCAGCAGACTACCACTACAGGAAAACATGTTTAAACTTCCGGCATTGCGCGATTCGATACTCTTTCATTTCAACATGGCGGCGAACTTCCCAACTTCCGCTCTAGAATACGAACTTTACGAGCGGATTAAATGCGAGGTTTTGGAAGATCTAAGAGACTGGCTTGTACCAAAGCTAAGAACGGACAAAATAATCACTTACCTGAGGTCAAAACGTGTGTTTGATTTGGATGACCAAGAGCTTATTAACGCACAAACAACAACAAGAAGGAGCAACAGCATGTTGTTGGATTTTGTTATTGAAAGAGGATCTACAGCTTTTGATCAGTTTTGTCATGCTATCAGAGAGAATTGCACCGGTCAAGCACATGTCCTGGAAAAAATCCTCATTGAATTTGAGAGAAGGAAACAAGAACAAAGTAAGCCGTAAACAATACCTAAATACAACACAGCACAACAACAGCCTTCCTTCAGCTGAAGCAGCTGTTGTGAGCCGAAGTAGTAATCCGAGTTGTCAGATGGCTGATAACCTAGTTAATATCAAGAACTGGAATTGTAAGCGAAGTCGTAAGCTAAGTAGAAGTCACAAGAATTAGAATGCTTCATATTTTCTTGCGACTTCACTTATGAGTCTGTCGCTTTTTGAGAATAAGATTGCGTGAGGCAAAAGTTTTTAGTCATTGTGATTGGTTTACTCCTTGTTCTAGGTCATGAGTGATGGGTTCACAAGCTGAAATAAATTTTTTTTTCAGTCAAATATTTTTCTCTGCACATCAGGTTAATGGGAGATTGCTAACCCTAACCCTAACCCTAACCCAACCCCCACCCCCCCGGCTCTTTTCCCAGCTTAAGTTGCTGCAATCATGACGGAAAGCTGTTTTAAAAGGAAGTTCTAAATCTGACAGAGGGGATCCATGTCCGTTAGTCCACTTAGATTGGGACACACTTAATTAGCAAGTTGGGCCAAGGGATGTTCATTTGCCACTGGGTACTTGCTCCCAGGCTGCTGTGTCAGCAAGGCGAGGGTCAAGATATTTGGACTACTGATCATAACATCTTTCAACATACCAGGCCCTGGTTATTAGTTACAGTGTTTTGCTTTTAATTACAGAAACTTGCTTGGACTCATACAAGGTATTTTTTTCTATTTTTTGATGCAATTTAATAATAAAAATCAATTTCCATTCTACAGTTCCCAAAGATTCACCTCCTTCCAACTTTAACAGCATTTCTAATCCTTCGGAGGACCCAAAGCTTCTTGTGGTAACTGGCATACCTGGCACAGATGAAGTGGATCTGAATAATTTGCCAGGACCCGGGGACCCTGGTGCACCAGTGCCACCTGATGAGATTGACAATAATCCAGCTCAAGGTAGTTTGCCTTTGAATTTTTCAGTTGACATGCACTTTTAGTAACGTGCTATGTGATTGGCTGGTTTGTTTGATAGGGTTGCTTGGCTTGTAAGCCATCCGATTGGCTTATACCGTATTTCACCATGAGGTTGTAACATAAACCAGCCACCCATTCCGCTCATTTCGACAAGCTCGATTATCTTCATCTTTCTCATTTTGCTTATCCAGGGTTATTCTCTCTGCACTTGTTCATTGTCTCTTGTGCCAAGAGGTTAGCTAGTGTTTTCTATTACTATTCTTGTATTCATTCTCCTTGTCCATTCAATTTCACTTTGCAAGTGCCGTCTTCTTCGTCTCTGTTTTATATTTTCTCGTTGTCCATTTCATTTCGTTTGTCACTGCTATTCTATCTGTCTTTGTGTGTAAGCCATGTGAGTCAACATGCTTTCATCCAAGAGCACGAAAAGAGGTTTTTTGTGAATGTCCGCAGTGCGGACATTCTTACTTTGATCGAAGGAAGCTTCCAAATTGTGAGAAATGTGGTTATCTTCTTGGAGTAACAAATGAGTCGGCCCCCAAGAAACCAAAGTGGAACCTTCCAAGGGCTGTTTTTTTTGTAGGTTCATCTCACTTTTCTTGTAAGATGAGCACAAAGGACGATTGTTGTTTTGTCTGAAAGGAAAGAGACAGCGTGTTTTGCTTGCAACAGCAGTGCATGGACGTGCAGCAAACTCATCCTGCAAACATGCTGACCTTTGCTCGGATTCTGCTTCTGCCTTTCAGACATTCTATTTGTCTCCCGCAAAAATTGAGAGCTACAATGGAGACAGCGCCCCTAAAGAATCATTGTCTGTAGTATTTCATTTTCTGCTTTTTTACAATGTGCTTAATTGTTTCTTGTAACTACACACCCCACAACCCCCACAACCCCCACGACCCACCACAGCCCCCTCAACCCTGACAACCCCCCCAGCCCTGACAACCCCCACAGCCCTGACAACTGCAACCCAAAATATAGGACATATGTTTACTCATATTATTGCTCAAAGGATCAGTTTTCTGCCTTTTATTAAGTACCCAGAACAAGATTTACTGTTTTGTCCTGTATACCACTTTACATTCTTCAATGTATGCATTTACACATAATTGATAACCAAGCATTTAAGCAGTAGCCAATCACAGAGCCCCTTCCTATAGGTGTGGTGTACCTCGAATTTTTATAAAACTAAGTTTGTGTGAAAATTACAGTCAAACTTCGTTTATTTGGACACTTATTTACTTTATTTATTAATGGACCATAGAAAGACTCTCCATTTTAATACTAGTACATGAGAAATTTCTGCAATTTGATTGGCTTAGAGCAGTAGTATTTCAGCTTAATTTGAAATACCTACATGTGAGAATTACAAACCTTTTGCGGGTAGTAGTATAAACAAATAATAGCATTATTTGTACGTGATATTTGGCATAAATACCACTTGTGATATTTCAAAATTGTCTCAAATTTACGTACAACAATTTTGAAATATCACTTGTGGTATTTATGCCAAATATCACTACAAATCATGCTACTACCTATACTAACAAGGCGTCCAAATTGAGAGAAAGGGTAAGGGCTTTCTTTCTCCAACTGAATATTGTCGTTATTGAGTTGTCCGTATTATTAAAGTGGGTGTCCGTAAAGACTAGTTTGACTGTAGTAAGATTAAGGTGGTTCTCCTGTATATTCTGTGATGCCATGCTTGTCAAAGAGACAAAATAGAGCAGAGAATGTGCATCGCCTCAAACGACATCCAATTATTTCCGTCTTAAGTTCCCCAAATGGAAAGGCGTGAACCATTTAATTCCCCACGTAAATGGAAAGTACGCCAGGTGTCTTAGTCTGCTACACAGCCGTCTTTAGCGTCGTCACGCAACGCTCCTCCCCCGTAATTAATTAGTGGGGAGGAGCGTTGTGTGACGACACTAAAAACGGTTGTGTAGTAGACTACGGGTTTCTGGGTTTCACACCGAAATCGAGTGTCACAGGCTGTTTCGTTAATTTCTGTTTCAGCTCATCAGACCAGCCCAGGAGCAAATATCCCTCCACCGTCATACAGCTCTGAATCACCACCGCCTTATTCTGAGTAAAGGACCTTGAAACCCATGCATTTCTGACTTCTGTACCAGGTGACTTAAGGCGGACATTTTGCAACCAGTGGCTGAATTTTAACCGTTTCTTGAAGTTGCCCAAAATTTATTGAACACACCAAGAGTTGCGAGACCGTCATTTTGTGGAATTTGTGGTTCATCACATAACAGGTTGCAATTGGTTTCATAGGTACAAAGACATACGGTTGCAGAAACCATCGACTGCCACCCGTCCAGTCCTGAACAATCACCCAAGGTAGAGAGAGAGAGAGACCTTTATTTATTCATATCAGGGTAGCCTATTCAGACGCCTTAAGCACTGCTATCAATTGGGACCCTGATAAAAATTAAAATGATACATGTAAAACTAATAAACTAGAACTATACAATTATACTAAAATACTCTTTTTATTATACTAAAAGTTAATCTTAAAATATGGACTACGTACATTTACAGTAAACATGAATAAAATCTTAAAACATTAAAAATTTAGCCTATTAAAAATTATAGAACCATTGTAATAAAAAGAGTTTTTACCTAAGTCAATTCTAACCCTTGGCAAGTGCAACATGTTCATTTGCCTCAAACCCCTGTTAAAAGTAAAATGGTTTTTAAAAAATTGGGGGCAGTGTTCTTTCATGCATCTTTTGACGAGTTCATTAACATGGCTGACTCTTGTCTATATACCAGAGATGGCCACTCAAGATAATCCAAAGCTCTGTAACTGTTGCTCATTTTGGAAACAATTTTAGCGGCACGTCTTTGAAGCCTCTCTAGTGACGAACTGTTGCCAACTCCGCAGCAGTTCCACCTCAGTAGTGTCACAATAATCCATGATAGGACGAATATAAGCTGTGTATATGGAATTAGCACATTCTGATGTAAGATTCCTCCTAATGCGTCCTAGCATTCCCAGTCGTTTACGAGCTCGGAATAATACATACTTAACACGAGAATTCCAAGAAGTATTTTTATCAAATGCAACTCCGAAATATTTAAATTCAAACACACGCTTAATGAGTTGGCCCTTAAACGTCATACCAAAAACTGCATCAGAAAGCCTAGCGTGGGTCCCGAACAACATAGCTTCAGTATTAACCACGTTTAAGAAAAGGCTGTTATTATAGATCCACGATCCAATTAGATCAAGATATTCATTGAGACTTTTATCGATTGTAGCATTAATTTATTTGGCCATTAGGGATAATGACCTTACCAGCATAGTTAACTATGCTCACGTCACCACCTTGCTTGCTGTGCCTTTCAGATAGTCAGTAAACCACTCGTATTCTTGATCTACGATANCAGTGGCTGAATTTTAACCGTTTCTTGAAGTTGCCCAAAATTTATTGAACACACCAAGAGATGCGAGACCGTCATTTTGTGGAATTTGTGGTTCATCACATAACAGGTTGCAATTGGTTTCATAGGTACAAAGACATACGGTTGCAGAAACCATCGACTGCCACCCGTCCAGTCCTGAACAATCACCCAAGGTAGAGAGAGAGAGAGACCTTTATTTATTCATATCAGGGTAGCCTATTCAGACGCCTTAAGCACTGCTATCAATTGGGACCCTGATAAAAATTAAAATGATACATGTAAAACTAATAAACTAGAACTATACAATTATACTAAAATACTCTTTTTATTATACTAAAAGTTAATCTTAAAATATGGACTACGTACATTTACAGTAAACATGAATAAAATCTTAAAACATTAAAAATTTAGCCTATTAAAAATTATAGAACCATTGTAATAAAAAGAGTTTTTACCTAAGTCAATTCTAACCCTTGGCAAGTGCAACATGTTCATTTGCCTCGAACCCCTGTTAAAAGTAAAATGGTTTTTAAAAAATTGCGGGCAGTGTTCTTTCATGCATCTTTTGACGAGTTCATTAACATGGCTGACTCTTGTCTATTTACCAGAGATGGCCACTCAAGATAATCCAAAGCTCTGTAACTGTTGCTCATTTGGAAACAATTTTAGCGGCACGTCTTTGAAGCCTCTCTAGTGACGAACTGTTGCCAACTCCGCAGCAGTTCCACATCAGTAGTGTCACAATAATCCATGATAGGACGAATATAAGCTGTGTATATGGAATTAGCACATTCTGAAGTAAGATTCCCCCTAATGCGTCCTATCATTCCCAGTCGTTTACGAGCTCGGGATAATAAATACTTAACATGAGAATTCCAAGAAGTATGTTTATCAAATGCAACTCCGAAGTATCTGAATTCAAACACACGCTTAATGAGTTGGCCCTTAAACGTTATACCAAAATCTGCATCAGAAAGCCTAGCGTGAGTCCCGAACAACATAGCTTCAGTCTTAACCGCGTTTAAGAAAAGGCTGTTATTATAGATCCACGATCCAATTAGATCAAGATATTCATTGAGACTTTTATCGATTGTAGCATTAATTTGTTTGGCCATTAGGGATAATGACCTTACCAGCATAGTTAAATATGCTGACGACAACACCTTGCTAGTCAAAGTATGTAAAAAATGAAACAGATCTTTCTCAAGAGGTTGTTAATCAGTTTTTCAGTTGGACTTAAGATAATGCCATGGCATGTAATCTCAAAAAATGCAATGAACTGATACTTTGCAAGAAGGTTACTCATGATATAGACCCTGTGAACAATATAACGCAAGTTTCTTGTTGAAAAGTTTTAGGGGTTACTTTACAAAGTAATCACACATTTAATGAGCATTTCAAGGTTAAGCTGCAGGAGACCAATAAGTGCCTTTAAGTGATAAGATGTTTACGTAAACAGGGATACCATCAACCAGATGTAGATACCGTTTTTAGATCAATTGTTTTACCGAAACTAACGTACGGTCTTCCTGTGTACGCCTCCTCAATACCTGAATTAACAACGGTTCAGAATTTTCTACAGCGCTGCTTTAGACGCAAATATATT